CCTGGAATCAGTTCGCACACAAAAGAGAATTTAGATCATCAGCTAATCTCATCTGATGAGCAGAAATAAATGCTGAGTGACTTGTCATCTCACTCATGATTTACTTATGCTAATTGTCCTTTCAAGTATGCCAGAAAACATTAGCAATGTAATTAAATTACCACTGTTCCAAATGATGAAATATCAAATTCTCCTCTGGGAAATTATTTGTGCTCAGCACAGTAAGTCTGATAGTTAAATGTGAACTCCTCATGTTTATCTCTTTGGGTAGGTCTATGCAAGTTAGTCAGAGGTAATTACTGTGATGTGTCAATTTGCAGCCTTTAGCATGAAAAACAAACGAGGGGAGAGGGAAATTTCTTTTTTTTTAGGCTTTTAAAATGTTTGAGCCTTTTCAGATATCTAGGCAGCATGAACAACAGCAACATATCTCGTTCTGTTCTAATTGTGTTTTTAAAGAAGAACCACCACGCTGATAGATGCCAGGCGTGTTGCGTACAGAGGCAGTTGTTGTTGTGCCAAGTTGCAGCATAATTGTTCATCCTGAAACTTTAATGAAGACAAAAGTTTGCTTCAGCAGTACGATCCTGTAATGCTAATAATGATGGTGAGCAGTCCCTCTGCACGTTGTCTTTAGGGACAGATGAAGTCAATCCAAACCAGGAAACCGTTTTACGTTTCCAGGAGGCTCCCCAGGATCAGATAGTGCAGGAAGAGGCTTTCACGGATCTCAGAGGATGCTTCTCCCTGGGGGCTGCTGGAGTCAGGTTTGGATAATACCAAAGAACACCACGTGGGGGTGAGATGATCACTGCAGAAGACTGCTGAGGCAGTTTGAGGTCAGGTCCATGCCCAACCCCCCAGGACAGAGCACGTGGAAGGGGGTTCCTCAGCCCACTTGGATGGCTCAGTTGAAGCGACCAGCTATTTTCTGTTCAAGCTAAGCCAGGTGAGAGCATCGTGAAGCCCACGAGGAGCCTTCCCAAGGCCTGCCTTGCTCTGCGTGGTGAAGGTAGGATGCAGGAACATTCAGCAACTTTGTTAGGTGTTGCAGCCATTCCTGCAGTCATTATGTGACTGTAGCATTCGTGATTTAGCAATTAATTTGTCAGGGAGATTAGTGGCAGAGCAAGTCATTGTGGTTTGATCTTCCTGTCCAGAGGAACAGCAGGGTTTAGAGGAGGCAGCCCATTCTGATTTGAACTGTTTGGTATCATTTATAATGACAGTGTGGCTGGGAGAAATGAAAGAGGTCAAAACTGGCTGCTCATTTTACATTAAACATACCTGGAATTCAATGGAAAGAAGACTCACAATCTGTAGTATAATACCTGAGTAGTGCAGGGTTTGTATTCACAGTGCTGTTGGTCAGCATCTTTTAGCTGGGGCAAGAATTCCCGTTTTATTTAAAGGAACAGGTACTGAAGGGAGATGAATCCTCTGAAACAAGCAAGCTGTGATTAGCTCTCATGGAAACTATTTTCCTTATTGCATTGAAAAGTTTTCCTTAACTTTAGGTGATCACAAAGTGCATTTAGCCTGCCAGGACCATTAGTTGGGTATTTGGTTCATAGTGCCTGGAAGAGACTGCAGGTTTTCCATAGATTCCCACTGTACTATTTTGATTTGCCAAGTGAAGTGTTTATGATTGTGGATGCAGAAATGCATCCGGATGAAGCAAATTGGAGAGTTTTTAACAAACTGCCTTTGGTTGCAAAGGTATTCAGGGCATGCAGAAGTTAAAGGTGGGGAGGTGAAATGTGAAGAGGTGCCCTCAGCAATCGTGTACGGAATTGATGAGCAAAATGTAGTGATTCTTCTGTCTGATCATGTTTTTATAACTGCTGCATTCCTACTTTGAGATGTTGCCACATTTAATCTATGAAGTTTTACGTGGCTGTTTATTAGCCTATTATGCACATCCTGTTCATACACATAAAGAACAGAATTTATGGGCTGAGATATTTTGCACTTCTCATTGCTCAGAATGAGAGAGAACATTTTCTGCTTCTTGTAATTTGCACTTTGCGTGTCGAGTATATTACTGCCAAAAATTATATTGCAACTAATTGATAAACCAGTGACCGTGCAGGGAAGCGTGTGCTCTGTGTACAGGACCAAGTCAGAGATTTAAATCTGCATTTCACTGGTCTGGGTTGAGGTGCTCTGGTTTGTTTAGAGCTTTATTTCTGTGCAAGGGAAAAGGCAATTAGACTTCCTGATTGTATGTTTATGTATATCAGTAAAATGAGACATTTTATGACTTTCAAAGATTCTAAATAAAGCTCCATTGCATAAGTATTTGTGCATTTATTAATGGTTTTATTGAAGTTGCTGTTAAAATTCATTGCAGGAGATGTCTTTGTTATTCCACGTAGCACTGATGATTGCCCTTCTCAGGGAGCTGGAGCAGCAGTTGCTGTAGGAGTGATGGAAGGCTGAGGTGGCAGCCAGTTGAGGCTTTCTGTCCAGGTAGCAGGATGCTGGTGAGAGGGTCACAGGGGACCATCCCATGCACATTCATCCAGACACTACAGCCACCCATTGAGGTGGAGCCTGCTAAGTTGTTTGTCTTAAGAGGAACACCCAACAAAAACAGCTTGGTTGAGAAACCAAGGACTTGGTGCACAGGCTGCAAAACCAGGGGATGAAGACAAAGGAGTGACCATTACTGTGCCAGGAGGAGTCAAAGTCTATGCGAAGGATGTTTGCAGGAGGAGCATCTTTACCACAGGCATCTTGCAACCCTTCAGAGGTGCCACTTATTTCAACTGATACACTGGTGGGAAGGGTCCTCCTGCCCTGGCTTGCGGACTCACCTGTCAGAGCCTTTTCTTTTAGAAGGGACATGTGCTGTTTGCAGTCCCTCCATCAGCTTCCTCACCTGGAGAGAGAGAGAATAAGCCACAGTTTGCAGTGACACTGTCAACGACATCTGTGACCTCACCAGGAGCCAACTTGGGGCTGTTGTGTTTCTTGGCTAATGGTGCAAAGAAGAGGACAAGTCACGCTGATGTTGGACTTCTTCCAAAGGTTGGGATTGAGGTGCTGTAAGTTCTTGTGTCCTCCCCACTACATGAGCTTGCCAGGGAACCAAGTCTGTCCAGGCATGATCCCTGCTGAGATGGTCAACAGTCAGGCAGCAGCATGAGCCATGGGCAGCAAGTCAGCCTGGACAGATGAGGGGACTCTCTCACCTTTTACTGCTGTATGAGGAATCACTGTAATACCTCTGAATTCCCTGCAATGAATCAAATGGTGATTACCACCCTGGAAGTATGACATATAATGCCTGTGGAGGTAATATGATTATGCCAAGATGAAGCAGTTAATGTACCTTCACCTATAAGAACTGGAATGAATTAATTTAACATTACACATGTATAAAACATTAGTTTTTACAGTTGTGCTGAGCATTGATATATAATTCCATTATCATCTTTCTCCACAGTTTCACACCTCTGCATCCATAATTCAGCTGTATTTACATTCTGGTTAAACACTGTCATGGTTGTTGTTTTTCCTTTTAGCAGCAATGGACATTTTGTTCTCTAGCACACCCAGTCCTGAGATAATGGAACCTTTTAGGAAGACAGAAGAAATCGGGTCCATGTTCTGCAGCCTCCAAAACAGAAGAGGAAGGAGGATCACCTAGACTTTGCCTCCAGCCTTGGCCAGGTGGACTCTGAGGTCTTTGCTGCTTTAGCAAGTGAGGTTGAAGCAGAGTTTATTTCCAATTCCTGCACAAAAAGGGAAATCCACAGTGGCAGCATAAAGCCCTCTTCATTCCTGATGGCTGTAGGTGCTGTGCTCTGTAACTGCTCAGTTAAAATTAAAAATCACATCCTAATCAAAGGAGCTGTGCCAATTAAAGCCCCGTTGATGTGGGGTTGCTCTGCTGCGCCTCAGCCTGGGATGCCTAGGACAGACCCTCTGAGCTCAGCTTTTTCCTTCCATCACTCCCAAGGAACCAGGTCGTCTCTCCAGAAATGACGTGATGCTGCAGTCACTTTTACGAACTCGCCAGGGAGCTGCCACAGGGGAGGACGTAAGTCAAAAAAGAGGAGGTACTCAAAGTTCTAATTTTTCCTGAAGAAAATAGACTTTTTTTGGGAGTGTTGCTTGTTTGCATTTTGAAGGGGAATGGTCTCTTCTGTCTCATAAAGCCCTTCTTTGGCTTTTTTTTGGTCTGTTCTGGTTTTTTTTTAGCACTTTGGTGTGCAGGTATGAGGGAGTATCTGTTGAAAATGAAGAGTAGATGATGAGCTTCTCCTGGCAGTCCAGGAGCTTGTTTGGTACAAGTTCTGGTTTATTTGTCTGCAGCAGAAAAGGAGGTGCAGGTAACTTCCCCTCAAGAGCTTTGTGTTGCCCTTCCCTCCTGCCCCCTCTCTGCCAGGAAGGCTTGTTTACAGATATAGTTCCTTTCGAGGAAAAAGGACACTCTGGAAGCTTGTGGATTTGTGCCTGGGGAACTTGAGGTGGTGAAAAGAGTGTGGGATTGTGCCTGTCAGAGATAGGTTTGTTTCTTGGTTTTCCTGCAGAGAAGCAGGAATTGGAGCACAATTCCTGGTGCTCATTAAACCTGTTGACTTGCTGAGTCGGGGGAAGCAGCAAAAACTGGACAAATTACTATTATGTGGGTAAACATTTT